TACTTGTCATGTGTCACATCTCTAAAAGTTTGCATGATTTACACTTTAAAGGGACACTAAATAAAAACCATAATTCAGTTCGAATTGACAAACTGCCATGTGTGTCAGTATTATAAGTTCATTATTAGCGTACAAATTCAAGGGAGAAGTGTTATTATTTTTAATTTCGCACCGTAATCTCCGCGAGTGACGTAAGGAATTCCCAAATACATTTCTCGTATGTTCACGGCATTGGCTCGGCGAAACTTTCTGAGACTTAGTATCGTAAATTTATTGCACCCACAGATTGCAATGTACTTCAATTTTATTGGTTAGAAGCTACGAAGGACCCAGTACACGCCTTCAAAAATTGATGACAGCACAGTTTTAGATGTAGAAATATCAAGGTGACGTCTCACCCACAGTTTTTTTTTTCGCGTGTTTTCTCGTTTACCGTGTGTCATGCCGCGGTATGAGTGGTGTTTCCGGGGATTGTGAAACAGTGCCTTCCTAATACGCGGAAAATCGTTTTTCTCTTCAGTGTCCAAATAGGTGACATTCCTTGCTGGTGAAATGGGCTGGCGCAAAGGAAAAGTCACCTGCTACAGAGACGAATAAATGAAGGTGACTGTCGCAAAGAAAACGGGCACGCGTTTTGAACATTTAAGCATTCTTTTCAATATTAGGCCGTTTTGTAGGTACAGTTCAGACGCCCTGCAGCCGTGTTATGAGAAGCGCTGTGCGTACTCGACCGACGCACTCAAGCAGGAGTGTGCACTTTTAAATATGAAATATATACGCATCCTAAAGGTTTCGTGTGAAGCGAATGTCAATTTCTCAGCTATCTGTGTCAAGTATATGTTTCGAAACTTATGGGAACATTATTATCTAACATTATTCTATGCTACACGATTGCAACAAATATCCGGCAGCACCTGTGTATAGAAACGTAACGGGGCAGTTTATGGGGTTCAAGGAGGATTTGTATACTAAAACCGCATATTTACTTCGTGTAACAACAAACATATGCGTGCAGCACCTCTATTCACTGTTCTTTCATTCCACCCAGGAGAGAGAGAGAGAGAAAAAAAATAGTAAGGATGAGAAATTCAGGAATGTTAACAATGGCTGGGCCCGGTAGGTTAGCGTGCACTGGAGAAAGGAGTAAGGGGAATAAAAATTCGAGAGAGAGAACGAGAGAAAAGTCCCTGTTGCTGTCGAAGTAATGGCAGTTCTGCGCTTAACATCACAGACCGTGAGTCAGTTTTGCGGCTTCAATCAGAGCAGCTGCTAGAATGGGTGGCATTGCTGCTGCAAGCAAGCGCTGGAAAAAAAAATTAAAGAAGTACTTTCGCGAAGTTGCTACCTGACGCTCGCAACGTGGTGCTACCCATAGCGAAGGCAGGAAGTGCTTTCTTCGGAGGAATATAGCCTAGAAGACGACTTCTGTACTAAGCAATATACTGTGCGCCTGCACGTATCACTTCGGTTCCCGCAAATTACAGCCGCAGTATACGGCGCTGACATGGCGTGCTGTCAGTACTCGCACGATTTAGGTAAAATTACGGGAGGTTGTAAGAGTCAAGGTTTAACGTCCCGTGCACATCATCCTTGCTCATTTTCTTGCTTATTGTGTGTATTGCTATAACATCGCCGTGGCGTACGCGTTATCACGTTGTCATGAGTCCTCGCTAAGCAGTACAGGCCTCGTTGCCGCATAACTTTCATGGCAGGGCCTGTGCCGACATTGACACTACAGTCGTAAGCGTTGAATTGCGTGGAGGCTCCGCTCAGTTTTACGCCGACCTTACTACGTTCCTCCATTTTGGGTACACGTGCGCAGACAATATCACTGCGACAAGTTTGTCGTAAGCTTAATTTTTTCTTACGTAATACTCTGGAACAGACGTCAGCAACCTGCGGGCCACATGCGGCACGCGAGGCAGTATTACGCAGCCTTCGGCGTGGAGTCTGAACCCTCCCCCCTCCCCTTGTAACTCCCTGTGTGAAGGCCAACATGGCAATTTTCACATATAGGGGGTTTTCATGGGGAAATTATGTTTGTAAATTGCAACCGCATGGCATGGGAGCTGGAAATCAGCATCAGTTTCATTTTTGTGTTGCTTTTTTTTCACATTTTAAATGTTGACCTAATTTTTCACTTTTACCGAAAAGCTCCCGCCCTTCCTCCCCATCGCCTGTTTTGCCATGCGGCCCACCGTGTCAGCTTCATAAAACTGAACCCTTCTGAAAAATGTCGCCGATCCTTGTTCTAGAAGGATTGGCTCATGGCCACTCGGGTTCACAATAAAGGAAACACTTGTGCACCATGCCTGGATTCCACGCTGTGGCAAAAACATGGTGGCTGAGATTTGCGTACGACTACTACTAGTTGACTATTATGATTCTTTTGATAGAGTGGAGCCGTGAGCGAACAATGTTTCTACGTCTTCTTGCCGTTATGGGGCCCTCAACATGACAGGTGCTCATTAGATGTGTTCTCTTTAACAGTGGATGGTATTGTGGAATCAGCATATTCATTTGTGTTCCGCGCACTCCCCAAGTCCTCGGTTTGCAGTCATTTGCTTGGCAATTTCGTCACCTGAACGCGTGGTCCGACTTGTCGTTTGTGCCTTAGAGAAAAAAATAACACAATCGACGACGACGATGATAATTAAAGAGCAGTAACGAAACAATAATGACGATGATAGTAGTGAATCTCTGCTATGACCTGGTCTGGGTGATGACTCTACCTTTGGTCAATAGCACTGACCCACCGTGAGGTTTACCACAAATGAGAATTTTGCAAAAAAACTAACAACATCATATGAGCTGAAATAGTACATCACCTTTGGATAAGAAGAGTGAGAACAAATACTACAACTTGTTCAAGTGGATGAGGAGAGGAGAAACAAAAGATAATATTTTGATATATTATAGCTTTAGTAACACACTTTACAGTACTATAAGATATTTTGCTTGAGGTGGAAATTTGAATGACATAATCTAATGAATAGCAAAGCCTGCACATAAATATAAGTATACCAGTGTAAAACGACCATTTTCATTGTGATCACGGCGGATCTGTATCGGGTGTTTTGAAGACGATTGAGGAATTATTTATATGTGGGTTTAACGTCCCAAAATCACGATATGATTATGTGAGATGCAGTAGTGGAGGGTTCCGGAAATTTCGACCACCTGGGGTTCTTTAACGTTCACCCAAATATGAGTACATGGGCCTACAGCATTTTGGCCTCCTTCAAAAGTGCAGCTGCCGCTGCCGGGATTCGATCCTGCGACCTGCGGGTTAGCAGCCGGAGTACCTCAGCCACTAGACCACCGCGGCGGGGCCTTCCTGAAGACGATCAACAAGTTTGTCACTGCTACGCGGTACAGCCTAATCCGGATAGAGTTTGGCGCAGACGCCAGCGAAATCGAGACCACGAAGCCTGACCGCGATGCGCACATCTCGATTGTCTTAATCATCATCAGGCTTGATCACGAATAACTGTGACCGTGCAGAAGGACTTGATCTGGATTAAGCCTAATACTGTTCATAATTTACTGTTTGACACCGGCGAGCCAAGCGTCGCAAAAAATAGCGTATTATCTAAGAGATATTAGCAAAACGATCAAGTGCACTGTTCAACTAAGCACCCAGAGTTATTAAAGTAATCATGCAAGATGCATTATGAATGAAAAGCGATGGGAAACCTTGTTAATAAAATTATAATCATTTAGGCTTTATAAAAGTAATAGCGCAGAAGAAAAGCAACATTAAAAAGCAATGCGTTTAAAAGCCAAATAAACAGAAATTTGTCTTGTAATCTTCTTGCGTCCCACAAAAACTGAAACTCAGCATAATAAACATCTACCAGACTGGAATTGGGTGTTTAGGTTCACTCTAAAGGTAATTCAGATCATGGCACTTACTGGTAATTCCACTTGGTGAAGAGGTGATTCGCGAGTTGGTTTGGAGAGTTCAAGAAGCTCCGATTTACTGCGTGGATGGTACTATTGCAGCCAAACGCGAGTCGATTTCACGTTCCTTATTTGCGTATGTCATCAACCATATAGTGCTTTTCACATTTCTGTGTTGCACTAAATCTTTGAATGATTAACCTATTTTCATACAGTCACAACATTACAAACAACAGTGTTAGTATAGCTGCGTTATAGCTACCGTGTAGGACTCAAGTGCTAAAGCACAGGAGAAAAACCCGAAGCGGTAGAGAATACAACATGCATTTTGAGGCGGAACTTCAATGTATTCGGCGGAAGAAAGTAAAGAAGAAAAGAAAGACAAAGCGATACGGAGCACAATTACGATAATGATGCATGAATGAGAAGCGGGATTGCGTCAGCCACACGTGTGACACCGTGTAGATTGCGCGTTATACAACGTGGTGCTCGCGCAGCTTCACCCAGTCGTCTGGGGCGGTGCCAACGAGGGGTACTGCGTAACTGAAGCCCCCCTTCCCCTCCCCCTCCCTCTCAATTGTAAGCACAGTCAAAACACAGCGTATATGTTCCAAGCTTACCAGCCCTCTTGACAGAACCAACTTTTCGTAGGTGTCACCTCCCAGTAAAAAAAATATTTTCGCCACCCTTGCTTTTCTTCACGTTTTACGTGGTTCAGTAGCTGTGTATCGCTGCAACTTGAACGCTTAATGTGACTCATGGGCTTGCAAGAGTAGGCTGAAGGTTGTGTTGCTCCATTTTGTTGCCTCTTTGTTTTTTTTCTATCTTTTTGAGTACCTGGGAAGGAGGTTGAGGTATATGAGATAGCAGCTGCTTTTGCGGTTGCAGTCTCTCGGACCCGACTTGCACTTGTACCGAACATACGCCGCTATCGCGGCCACTCCGAGACGTCACACGCAATGGACGAAAACATCTCGTTGGCCCGGTGCCAACGGAAGCTTCGCAATGGCCTGCCCGCGGATCGAATCGAGCGTTTTTCGCAGCTACGCACGGAGAGTGCGGTTACGCACCTAGCTTTTCCTTTGTGTGCCCCTGTAATCTGTTTTAGTGTCGGAGGTCCGGACTGATGCTATGGCGCTTCTGTTGGGTTTCGCTGACGTGGTCATATTTCTGGTTGTTGTTTGCACCCTCGTGTACACGTAAGTGGCATCGCTTCGCTAATGTTCTGGTCCCGTGAAAGGATGAGAGTGATTCTTCTTCGTATATTTTTTAAATTCCGGTTGCATACTCTACCTAACTGGGGGAAAATCTTTTAAATCTCAAAGTGATGTAAAAATGCGCGCCACCATGTGCTCGAGTGCTCGCGTAGTTTTACTCACTACGTCAAGTTACGCAGATTGTCACAAAGTGGATTGTCAGTGAAAGTGTCACTTGAGGGTTTAATTATCTCTAACCATACACGAGGAACAACAACAAGAAAAGTCAAGTAGTTGCAATGACTCACAATTAACGGTAAGAACAGACTGTTATATTACTAAAGTGACTGATTCCTTCAATATGTAGGTAAACGTATCATATTACCTTATTTTATCCATGCAATAAGTAGCTTGTAGCACAGAACGTTATAGAGCAGCACTCTTTTACTTTAATAGGGACCTGGTTTGAAGGAAAGTACATTATTCCCAGATACTGTCGGCTATACTGTTGGTGGAGACACCTGTTTGAACGCAACGCTATCATCACCTAAGAATCACTAAAATTATGTTGTGCATTTCATTTGTAGCAAGATAGGATAGTTGTAGCGTGAGGAGGAAGAAGACGGAAAGACTGGGAGGTTAACCAGTACCACTTGACTTCTTGAAATCATGTAAGAATTGGCTTGGTGGTGGTTAAACATCGTGAAAACTTGTGGCACACTAAAATAAGAAAGACATGAACCAAAAAGACGACAGGCCGCGTACAGTTACATATCTAGTACGCTGGGCCACTTCTGTTTTACGTTCAACCCCACTTCGCTTGTTACATTGACGGCTTCGCCATCTGCCGAGCCCAGTTGGCTTCCATCTGTTTCAGCGCATCGTCCTGCCGTCTTTCTTTGTCCGTGTGTTACTCCTCGCGCCACAAGTTTTTACGGCTGTTGACAACCCTGTGTTGGGGAAATAGAGTAATGAGAACAACAGACATGATAAAAGACTTCACTGAAAAAAAGAGAAAGAAAAAAAAACACGAAAAGCAAAGAACCATAATAAAATCCTCTTCAAGATACAGCCTATTTGGAATCTGTTTGCCTGGTGGTTTTGTCTTTGACAAGATAGACATTGAGCTCAGTCGGGAGTGCAAAATACCTATGACCATTCTACCAGATGGTTTTAAAACCTAAAGCTAATATAAACGTTATTTTTTCAAAAGTTGATGCATATTAGTACACAAACATTATTTATATAAATGGAACCATCACAATCAGAATAAAACAACAAAAATACGCTTATCATTATTGTTGATATTGATTACATGTGAAGAAATTGTTTGACATGCTGCTATTCCCAATTATGTTGTGTTCACAATTGTTGTGTAGACCCAGCTCAGGACATTACCCGCTATTATGCCATATCCATAGCTCAAGGACATGAGTTTGATTAATAGAGCGATATATTTTGGTTCAATATGTGCGAAGAGCATGGCCGAGGAAATAAAGGGTCAACTGTAACATGTGGTATTCTAGTGAGGCTAAGAAGAGAAAATGTCGTTGGGTCTAAGCATATGGCTTACTAAGAGATAAGAGACTGCATCCCAGAAACAAAAGTGTTAGTGACTCGTGTTTTAGTGGACGCGAAAAAAAAAGAAAAGAGATAGAGAGAACCTTTTTACGGCACAGTAAAGAGTGTGTCGTTAATTGTGATTTGATTTTACTTGTTTGATGATATTGAAAACTTTGTCAATTTTCTGGGCTGTGTATAGACTACTTTATGGATGTGTTCAAGGGCCCACTGGGCTGTTAACTTTTGTGTTTTGCATCTTTAACAGCTAACCGATCAGTGTTATCAATAGACGCATCCGCATGAAAACGGTTGAGTTGGTGCATACAATATTTAAATGGTCCTGACTCACTTACGAAACCATATACAAAACTAAGAAAGCATCTTCTTAGCAGTCCAAAATGGTGGTACCCAGATGTCTTACGGAAACTTATCTACACTGCAATATTTGGTTGTGCAAGACATGCGTACAAATACGGTTTTGTGCACCTTGGAGAGGGCAAAAAGATTGTTCGTCAACTAAGTTTGATATGTACTAAAGACAAAAAAAGATATGTCCGTATTTTTGAAATCCCTTCTCAGGATCTTTAAATAAAGTTATTCGTACCGTATAAAACTTCTAGTTGCGAAAATAATCACAAATGACCGCTCTTCGTGCAATCTGCTGTTTGTATTTTCTGCTGCAGGTATGCGTCAAGGAAGCGAAACTTCTGGAAAAATCAGAATGTTCGTCACGAAGAATTCTCACTCATACTTGGACCAGCTAAAAGACTGTTGTTTAAGGTAATATTCGTCTCGCGGTGTTCTGCAAGAAAACTTAAATAGAGGTTCCAAAGGGTGCCTGTCGGGTATGGAAGAATCATTGCATAATAAAAGAGGACGCCCTACAAAAGAGAAAGAGAGAGCGTCAATAATAATAATAATAATAATAATAATATAATAATAATAATAATAATAATAATAATAATAATAATAATAATAATAATAATAATAATAATAATAATAATAATAATAATAATAATAATAATAATAATGTACGAACGTTTTTGCACACAGAAGGGGTGCAGAAACGTCAAAATTATGAGCGAGGTTTTTGTTTGGGTGCCGAAACGTCAATAGATTGTTTTCTTAAATCTTTGGCCGGCGTCCACACTCTATATTCAAAGAAGTAAAAATTAGTCGCAACAAAGAATAATCAGTTTTAGCATTAATGCAACATAATTATACTGTTCACAGAGCCACGGATTTTTTTTGGAACTAACCTTGAGAAAAAGAGGCATAAAAGTAAACTCTACGAAATATCGTGAGAATATTCTTGCTGGTAATATTAAGGAAGTTCAAAGTGAGAAAGAAAAGAAAGTGTAGGCAATAAATGTATTGCAACACTGCCACGAATAAGTAATGAAACTTCACTTATAGATAAGCAAAGCAAACTTTTGCAAGGCTTGGGCGTCCACTTAATATAGCAGCGTTGTGGCATTACAAAAAAACAAAAGGAGCAGTCTACGTTTCCTTTGTGGTTGTTACGGCATCGCGTATTCGTATATGCTAAAAAATGAGTGTCTACCATCTGTGCCAGATATACTTCAGTAACGCTAGTGGTGTACGTGTTGACCATGCAGCGAATACTAATTTCTGCAAATTCTGCAATAGGAATTTTCACTGAACTAAAAAAAAAAGACTTTTTAGGAACTTTCATTTTCGAAGTTCTTTTAAGTATATCAGGTGAATGTTTGGTGCCTTGTAGATGGTATGTATGATGGACCTAATAGTTACCGCGTATTCCTTGTATTCCCATTACTGCCCCTTTATTAGTTTTCATACTTTCCTCTAATTATCTGTGTTTTGTATTGTTACTATTACTTCATTTAACCTACAATGTCGGGGGATTGTATTGGGACGCGGTGGCCGAATTTTCGACTCGGGCGAAAACACCGGAGGCCCAGGCACTTAGGCGGATAGGTGTACGATAAAGAACCTCAGGTGGTGGAGATTTCTGAAGCCGTCACATTAAGACGCGTAGAGTTGCAGTAGCAGTGGCAGATGCCTTAAGGCAAGTGCGGCACAATCTGTTCTGAGCCCGAGACAGTTACACCTCTTGTATGTCTAGTAGCGTCCTCTAGTCGACGCTGGCACCAACACCTACGTAACAATATCGTGGTTTCAAGACATGAAACTTAAACAATTAGTAGTGTGTTGAGGTTATTGGTAAACACAATGCGCGCAGACTTCACCAGGCTAACGCCATCAGCTCTAAGCACGTTCTGAATGCCTTGAAGCCCGTTCTTGAGCGCCTTCTTTAAAACCATCGGATGCAGTGTACTTAATCTAAGACACCCGAAGCCGACCCGTGCTCTGTATGAGTTCGCAGCTTTGACTATACGAACATGGTGGTGGTGGTGTTAGTGGTTAGAAGATGAGAAAAGGCACCTAAATTCTGCAACCCGGTCGGGAGCACGGCGCAGTGCCTGCGGAGGAAGGAAAATGGAGAAAAGTGGAAAGAAGAGAAAAAGATTAAGTGAGCAGTGGCACGGTCGTCATCAGCACGAACAGCACTCCGGAAGCAAGGGTAGGGCTGGCAAGGGGCCCGTCCTTAGCGGTAGGTACGAACATGCACAGTACAAGCAACTATACGTGCAAGTGTATATCCTTTCCCTCCCTTTCTTTCTTCCTTTTTCTATTTTTTCCTCCCCTTTTCTTCTTTCCCCGTGCAGGGTTACAAACTAAGTGCAACCAAGTGAACCTCCCTGCCTTTTCTTTGCTTCTTTCTTTATCTCTGTCCCTCTCTTCCTTTTTCTATTTTTTCCTCCCCTTTTCTTCTTTCACCGTGCAGGGTTACAAACTAAGTGCAACCAAGTGAACCTCCCTGCCTTTTCTTTGCTTCTTTCTTTATCTCTGTCCCTCTCTCTTTTGTAGCTTCTTTTAGTACAGTCAAAGTTTTTGGGTAGTCCTCTACAGGGCAGCCAACTGCGCACGCCCTTCATTACCCCGACTGTTTTCTAGCATCAACATCAGACGGACTAAGCCCTCTGCAGGGCAAAGACTTCTCCCGTGTTCCGGCAATTAACTCGGTCCTACCCGCTCACCACTCTTTCTCAGACTGCACGTGAAAATAAGCTCGAACAACCTGTTAGAAAAGCCAGGATCTCGTCGTTTCTCAAGAAAATGACAGACCTGTGGATTCGGCTCTGTGCAAGCGAACAGAGTGTACCGAAATGCTTTATGGCGAAAACTGCCGAAGCGATGGGGCATAAAGAAGTTGAACAAATGATAGCTTTTTGTCGTGCTTCAAATGGCAAGAACGAATTAATGTTCCAAGAAATGATCGCGTAGGCAGCGGTATTACGCTGTGAATGCGCATGTTCTGCCAGTATTGCCTGATGCTGTCCCTCCTTGTTGCAAGACCAAACGCCGCGATGCTGGGATATAGAAAAACTCGTTTGTTTGACGGAATTTCTATGTATATAATTTTTTGTTTGAGTGACATACTAAGCAACTTGGATTTGAAAAAAAAATTACAAACCTATGTGAACTTTTCAGCCGATGGCCCTGAGTGACCAGGAAAGATACCAAAAGATGGGAAGACTCTTTGGGTAAGCTGACTATTGAACATGCGCTAAAGATACACAGGTTTTTTATCTGAACTGCAGAAAGTCAATTGGCCTATTTATTTACAAGATTTAGCATGTTTTTTGTCCGTATCGATTTATACTATGTTGAAATGTGGACATTGCTAGTCTAACAATACGCTTTTGATTGGGCCATCAAAACTCCTAAAGGTGGTAGCAGATAAATCTGCCTAAGCTATACTGTTTATCATTACAAACAGTGAACAAACGATAACTCTTTCGCTGTGAGCAAGTCCTTTAAAGCAGTGTTGCACAACATTCCACTCGACTCCATGTACATTAAAAGTTTAGCAATAATTACTCTTAAGGGCGAAGCACAGCTCTAAGTGATGCTGAGAATATTACTATCAAATGCGCACAGATGGTGGCGATGATACTCACAGAACCCAACTTAGGAAATTATTTTAGTGTTGTATTCAAATTTTCATCAACTTCCCCTATACATTGTGCCTGTGTATGTGCTACTTTATGTGTTGTGAAGTGGTCTTCGGAAAGGAATTCAATCTTAAAATATGAGAGACATAGTTTTAGGGCACCATTATTTGAAACGTGATTATCCTATGGCGAACCTATGGAACGCAAGTAACTCAACAGTGTCATTATATTCTCGCTAGATTTTGAGTCTTTCACATAAAAAAAGCTCGGTTGATTCCTCCATCATAGGAATCGGAAAAACACGAAAGTAAAACGTTCTTTTACCGAAGTAGTTTATTGTTTACTCTGCATCTAACTAAGAGAGCTTGGGTGATGCCTAATGGTGCGGATCTAGAGGTTATGAATGTCAGTTCCTACTGACTGGATTTTTTCTTTGTTTTCTGATTGTACTGCATTTTTTCAACATCATTTCCGTGATAGAAATACGGCACTGAAGTCTTGGTGGACCCAGGCATAAAGCACTGTCTTAAGTTGTTAAAAAAAGGAGGTAGGGAGGGGTTGAGGGAGAAAGGGTAATTTACTATCTATGAACTTGAATCGTGCAGCTACTACTGTTTCGCGAAAAAAAAACGGCAAGAAAAGCTTACTGATATAATTTCATATATATCGGAAGATTGTAATGTTAAGAAAATTAACATAACTTTTAGTGCACATTAGGACCTTACATTAGGCCATGTGAACATTATGAATTGTCTCGCACTTCAGGTACGATATGAAGATTTGTTGAGCTTTGTATGGATACAAAGAAAGGTTTGTACTATTACTTAAAGTTTTACATACAGATAACATGACTGTGAGCACGACTACGTAGGGTTGCGTGAAGGGAGGTGACCGCCAATCACATCCTCAGGTATCTGCACTGTTTTCTAACGTTAGAAGTGTACAAGTGCTCAAAAAGTAGAAGAACGAAGCACGCTGTAACCGAACGGGCTGAAACTGCATGGCAGCGTGCTTCATCAGAAGATGCGCTGCAGATAACGAAAGTGCGTCGGCGTATCTGGCTTACCCATTCCGATATTCGTATGCTCGCCTTACCGCAGCCTCGAGTGAAGCCTAGCTGCTACCATCATTGCTCGTCAGAGAACGCTTCCAGCGCTTTACTCATTTGTGTGTCTGACGGTCGTGAAACACTCTACGGAGGAGGCATACACTTCCAGCATCACCAAGAATGCCGCCACTTTTGCCCCTGACTAGCAGTTATGGTAGTATGCGTCGTTTTGCTTGCGCGGGTGTTAAGGCGAGCATCTCAATGTCGAGATGGGTCAGCTGGATATACCAGCGCACTCGCGCTATCTGCATCCCATTATCTGCAGCGCGCTATCATGTAGCTTCGAAGAAAGTCTCTGAATATTTTAAGGCCATTTAATATCGACCCGTTCGACTGCAGCTGACGTGCTGCATTTTTATTTTAGAGCACTTGTACTAAAAAAATATAACTTTTTAGCATAAACTATTGACACCTGTAGCGCAAGGATAGCTTTTTTATTTTTGACAGACTTGTGGCACCATGCGCATGTTCGTGAACAAAAAACTTTGATGACGCAGATCATTTTCACATATGCACCTTTTAACGCAAAGCTCCCAGGGCACCGCCATAGATCCCTCTGGGCAGTGGTTAGTGCACGTGACCTCCCCCAAAAATGCACTGCCGAGGCTGTGACGACGACATTAACACTGAACTAAAGCTAGTTCTGGCTATAGTAATCATCAGCCACCACAAGATAATATTAGTAATATGCTATCATCTCCATATTCCCCTTCAACATATGTCGGTGAACTTCACGTAGAAATCAATATAGTTTGTACACAATTTCCATCAAATCCTTTGTTTCTGCTCGTAGATAATAAATTTCATAGTATGATACGGAACGCAAGCTCACCTTACTGATTACCGTCTGCGCCAGAGCCGAGTAAATTTATTAGCCTATGTTGAGTGTTTTCTCCGAAACAGGTAGTAACGGTGCCAACTAGAGCAACCATTAGCAGTGCTAGCATTCGCGATCTAATAATAACAAATAAACCAGACCTAATTGCCAATATAGCCTCTACACCGGTATGAGTGATCATTCATTACTATCGTTTTTATTTAACGCACCTTTTTTAAAGGACTCAAAAAATAAAACAATACGAGACTATAAGCAAGCAAAATTTGACATGAATAACAGTGAACTAGTAAATTTTTTAGACACATTTGCAGTCTAAGTGCAGTCAGTGCTGTCTAACTGGTATACTATTGCACCTGAAGTATATTGGCTGATATATTAGTATATTTCTTGCCAGACTATTATATCTAAAGTGCGTGTGCCCTGGCACACTGCTCACATCAAATGGTTATCTAACCGAAAGAAATGTTTTCATCATGTCGCAAGGTGTTTACCTATACTAACCACTCACGTTGGGCTGCCTACAAATCTGCACCATCCATCTAGATATCTGCACTGAAATCCGCTGAAGATAAAATTTCTTGCTAGCGTATTGCCGTCTATTTTGCAAACGAACACAAACATGTTTCGCAAGTCATTTTACGGCCACTCGATAAAAAACAAGCTCTTTTTTATTCAGCTACAGTGGTCATCTGGAGTCATTAATCCCCTATGCGCAAACCATATATTCCTTCGACTGACTCATCCGGTAGCAAAGTTAGTGAATCCCATTGCGCTGCTGTTATTATCAAATCTTTAACTAAAAAGTTTTCCGTAGATAGCCGTAAAGAATGACCTAGCACAATTTTACAGAATTATTCACCCAGGTCATCAGTGACCTATAGGATGCTTGAAGCTTTACGCCTCATTGAATCACTCAAAAGTGACTTGTCTCTTGGTTATAATGATATTAACACAAAATGTTTGAAAAGTACTAGCGTTTACAGTTTCATTAAACTATTTAAAACTTTCCAATAGTCACTGGATACTTCTGCTTTTACTACCCAATGGGAAATCGGGAAAGTCGTTTCACTCTATAAATCTAGTGATAAAAAGTGTTCGAACAATCATCATCTTATTTTTTAACTAGTGTTTGCTGTAAGCTGCCCGAGCATTTAATTTTTCATTATCATAGTTATATTTTGGAATTAAATTCATTCTTCACATCAGCACAAAACCTCTTCTTAAAATATATTGATCTCAAATATAGCTAATATCAATCAGTCATCACTTGCATCTGATTTCTGACAAATTGTCGCATGCTGGCTGCATTTTTATATAGTTTTCAAAAACCTTTGACAAGGCTTGCCATAGATTGCTACAATACAATCTACAACTAAATTGTGACGGTAACCTATTAATGTGGATTGATTGTTTTCTCACTAAACGATCTCAATTCGTCACTACAAACGGTCACAATCCTTTTCACAAAGTTGATTCTGGTATTTTGCAAGGGCTCCCCTGTTCTTTCTAATTTTTACTAGTGAGCTATTATCAGTTATATTGTCTAACATATAATCTCTTTGCTGATTAGTGTGGTATTTGAGATATTACGAACGGTAATAACATTATATATTGCAGTCTTACCTTAGCGCTATATCTAACAGGGGTGAAAAATGGCTGATGCCCGTGGAAATTGTAAAAGTGCGAAATCATTCGTGTGTCTATAACTTCCACTACCTAACCTTTTTACTATCTTAAGAATATTCCCCCAGACCTTGTTAGCTCTTATAAGTATTGTGGTGTTCACATAACGACTAATCTCAACTGATCACTTCATATTGAACACATTATTAACAATGCTAACCGCATGCTTAGCTATTTACGACGCAACTTTTTAATGCTACATATAGCTTAAACATGCAGCTTTATAAGACATTGATGCGTTCCAAACTAGAATGTGCTTCAGTAGTGTGTGATCACACCTATGATAATTTAGTAACTTCCCTTGAACTTGTCCAGAATAGCTCCGTTCGTTTTATATTGTCTAATTATAACAGAACCAACAGCATTTCAACCATGAAAAGTTCCCTTGCACCCTCTCCTTTAGGATACCGTAATAAAGTTTGCCTTTCAACACTATTTGAAAAGATATATCACCATACCTTCCTGCATGACTATCGACTTCTTCGCCCACGACACATATCCCGCCGCATGGTTCAAAATCACAAAGTAGGCATCCCTTAATGCAACAGAAAAACTTTATTCAATTCAGTTTTGCTTCGTACATCAAAGGAGTGGAACACACTTCCTGGTGACATAGTTGCTATTAGTGATAACCACTTGTTCAGTGTACATTAGCTAACATTGTTTAATTACGTTTCTTGTTTCATTAGCAAACAATGATGGATTAGGTTTTGTGGTGTATTAACTAACATGTATTAGTATATAAATGTATAGGCTAACATTGTAATTGAAATTATCTGTACGATTTGAGCATATTCACTGCTCTTATTGGTTCAATTACATTTTCTTTTGTAATAACCCATCCTCTCTGTAATGCCAATGGTTCCTGAGGGTAATATGAGTATAATAAACACACACGGAGTAAATATTTTATAATTTCTTCATGTATAACAGCCAACGCGACTTCTTTTTTCCGTTAAAGAAATTTCGCTGCTATATGACAGAAGATTCTACAGTGCCGATTCCGTACAAGCTATGAGAACTTCCTGGATAAGAATCAGCCGCATATGGACAGATCAAGAGCGAATATATAACATAAAGCGCCTGCCTCATCAATTACGTTCCCACCCGCTGCGTCCTAATAGAGGAGGGAGGCAAACAAAGATTGCGAAAAATTAGGGGACTCTAGAGCTTCGCCTGTAGGAGTTGAACGCGATATCAACACCCTGTTTCCAGAGCGTACCACAAACACTTAGTGCGTGAAACCTTTTAGAATTTGCTTCGAACCCATATACGTGGTTTAGGAAAATAGCTGCAGTAGCATGTGTGCTTTTTGTAATGGGATAGCGGCTTTCAACTACGAGTCATAATGATAATTACATATTTTGACGCCTGTTGGCAATGAACACTTGTACCACGCATTATTATTGAGATATTTCATTTTGCATTGTGAAGCATGTGTACAGGACGCGTGTGTTTGTGAAACATGAAAGCTAATTCTACTGTATTTTCAAGCAGAGGAAGTTCTTTTCATTATTTCTGCAAGGATATGTGTGACCGTGTGGTAGAACATCCGCTGGCCACGCAAACGACCCGAGTTTGATCCCACCTTGAACCCAAACAACCCTGTTTTTGTCTCCACTCTGCTCCAGGACTTTGTTATCATTTATTCATTTTATTTGCATCGTTTTTTTACTTTTCGGTCATGCATAATATGATGATGATAACAGATATAAGTGACACATATGTGCCATAGGCTCAAAATAAATCGACGTTTCTAGTGCGCATTGCCGAGTCCAGTGTTTTGCAAGCTCTTCCATATACTATAGCACGCTATCTAAAAACAGTACATGTTGACCTTTATGCAGCGTTTACGAAGGAGGCAAACCCAAACTCGTGGTGGCTGAGCCAGATTTGGTAAAGCAAGTTCTCGTCAAGGACTTCTACATGCTGCCAAATCGAATAGTAGGTTGCCCTCACTTCTTGCTACTTTTCTAAAGTGAAACCGAAAGTAAATGTGCTGTACAGCGCCGATCACTTGATCACTGTAGTACACAGGACAATTTGACGGTGGTAGAACTTGGAGAAAAAAATTGGTGCCTCGTATATCGCTGTTACCACTTGTCACTTATTTATCATTATTAAAAAGCATATTTGTAACTGCTCCATTTTGTCAGGTACAATGCTGTTGCTACCATCAAAGAATAATACCTTTTCCATGAATTGTTACTACTTTCAACAAAGTATACAACACTTCAAATAAATTGGCCTGAGTGCCATGAGTATTGCTAATTAGTACATATGCTCTGGCAATGTTCTGAGTTAAGACACGCCTCTTTTAATATGCGAGAGGACTGGAAGGAGGCCCTCAAAAGCGGTACTTTCCTGGAACAACCAAGAACTGTCCATATGGCCTGGGAACGGGCGGGGGACCATGCTCTTGAGGCCCTAATGTGGGTGGCGCGGCTTGCCACTATGACTCTGTGTTTCCTTATGACTCAAATAAAGTTTGTTGACTGACTCACTGGCCTTTTTCAGCAATGAAGCTGAAGTTATTTATGAAATTTAACGCCTATATACTCAGACGTGACAGAAAAAAAACACGATTTAAAGGGCATGACAAACAAAATTTTGTCACAAAATATTGCGCACGTTAAACCATCGTTTAAACGTGCTCGCTTGTATAATCGTATACCATAATACCAAAAAGATGAGTTGGGCAGCTTCCTCCCGGCGGTGCACATTTTAGCATACGAGAAAATTGAAATGAAAGCGGCTGGCGTGTCTGGATGAAATCAGTGTAGCAGTTCTGTACACGATAAACCGAACAGTTCTGATGGTGTTGCAATAACCAACCATATTCAGTCTTTTTTTTTGTACAATAGTGCTTGCCTTCCATTTCAGGGGCATGCCACCGCTGACCCTATTTTCGACAACATGATGGCACTGGCATCTCTGGAAGTTTGGAGAAAGACACGGCCGGCGGTCAGCCCTGCGTTTTCGACGGGGAAGTTACGAAAGGTAACGTGCATGACGTCTGTTGTGCCATGGCCTCCGAGATGGCGAGCACGCGCTGCGTTTCTCTCCGGAAGTCCCGACCGCCGCGCTCATAGCAAAACCAACAATTATGGCCTCACACCAGAGGCGTAGCCAGACTTTTTCGGCGGGGGGCGGGGGGGGGGGGGGTTCACGCAGACCCGACAGGAGTAGCACAGGCATCAGCTTTTCTCTTTGGCGTCTCTATCGGCGGTAGTGTAAATAGATGGTGCACTTGTACGTCACGCCATGAGATTCCCCCGATCCCAATGCCTATGGTTGCGAAGAGATTAAGTAAAAGTACTGTAAGAATAATTGATTGTTATGTGGGTTTAATGTCCCAAAACTACTATATGATCATGAGAGACGCCATAGTAGAGGGATCCAGAAATTTAGACCACCTGGTTTCCTTTAACGGGCACCCAATTCTGAGCACACGGGCCTATAGCATTTTCGCCTCCATCGAAAATGCAGCCGCTGCAGCCGGCATTCGATCCCGAGACCTGCGGATTCAAGCCGAGTACGTCAGCCACTAGACTACGGTGGCGCGGCAGTACTGTAAGAAGTACTATAAATGCAGTAATCAACAGGTACAGTGACCGTTGGGAGCAACGGTCTCTCGCCGCACCATTGAAAGTACTGGTGTTCGAAAACGCATGATTGCGATTACTTATCCGATCGAAGAAGACATCGTTAATCTTTGTTAAGCGTGAATGGCGTAGGTCTCATCGGGGGAAAGTGCGTTTGACATGTCAAGGAGGGTTCCGCTTACACTGAGGAATGAGAGGTATACGCAACATGCTTTTGTACATTCATAATTACATTTTGGTTTTGCTTACTTTGCTGAGCGAATTTCTTTGTGTCGTTGTCTGTGTCTTCATGCCTATGGGAATGGTTTTTATATTAATTTCTATATATTTCAAGCCGCCCTGACGCAGTGGTGGCTTTTAGTCAACTTTTTTTTTTCACTTTACTGCGTGCATCGAAGCATGCTTGCGATACGTAATAGATAATTTTTTTTGTAAGATATGCTGCATGTTGGCAACACCATTTTGCACACGTTATTTTTCGGGCAGACGTTCAGTTGCACTGTGACTATTGATAGCAATGAAGTAGTCCAATCGTAGAGGTTTTATCGTTCAATTTGCGAGGACAAGGTAATCATTGATGAGAAATCTTCACTGGGTCTCAATCAAAAGTGCTCGTGCGACCTGACTATTCCTACTCACATAATACTTGGTCACTGTGCATATGCGCTGAAACACATAAATACGCGCAAAAACGCGGTATGTTATCGTTTTTTTTTTCGTAGCTCTTTTCACACGGCTTCCTGAAACGATAGCATTGCGGCAAGGTGACTTCCGTTGTTTGCAAGCGTGCAGCCAGCGACTTTTCTCTTTACCTGAACTGATTCAGAACTGTACAGAATATTTCTCCACGCAGCATACGTGCACTCATGTTTCCAGCACCTATACCTGCATGAACAGGAGCAGCCTCGAACCACACAAAATCTTCAGTGATCGGTTCACCAGTGATGAAGGAATGAACGCTGGAGTTTCTGAGAGCATAGTTGACCATAATCCATTTCTCAGAACGCGTGAACTCCGACGTGAACTGCCAGCGCATGCAGCACGAGTTTACTTACGGTCTACTGTGCACCGTTCATTCCTGTTGGTTGTCTGTTTCGAGCATTTTGATGCAAGTCGCTGTAATTTTACTACTGCCACCATCTCCTTCGCGTTCATTCACATTTCTGGTATTTCATCACAACGCGACAGAAACTACCAGCCTTCCGTATGCACACAATCACACACGTGAGATATCTCGCGCGCACAGTAAGATACTAGGCGAGCGCGCCCTTACCGACCCCTGAAGGGAAGCGGAGGAAATGTATACCCGCGAATCTTTCCGCCGGGCGAGCAACGAGCACTAGTGTTTAAAGCGGAACTTTACCAGCCGACATGTATTGTCGCAAAAGTTATCGTTTCTCGCATTCAGGGTCAATGCTCGAACATTGCTGGGCTCGTTGCTTCCTAGCACTGTGAAGTCACCCCCTTGAAATACGCTCCATGTGCTCCATTTTATACATCAGTTGCAACGCCGTGGAAGCTATGCAAGAAGTTCGACCAGCAAAACGTATAACTCGGCGCGTTTCATGGTCGCTCGCGTGGCGTCTGATAAGTGCCGGTGCACCCTCGCGTTGTAAAAAAAAGCGGGGTGAGCACAAAAGAACGCGGGTACCGAACGACCCTGCGGTGTCCTAACCTGCACTGACACTGAAAGCCCGTGTGGCCGCCATCATGACGTACCCAGCGTAAAGAGGCTGTAAGTGACGTCACGTGAAAACCAAGCTATACAGCCACATATTACCAGACGTTCAACGGCGTTTTTGTTTGTGAGGCTTACTTCTCGCCGTAATAACGGAAGAAAACTAAATAATTGGTAGTAAGAACGTTGAACTACTTTTTGTTGTGAACGCATCGACTGCAAGAAGCCTCGCTAGCTTCCTAAACGTTGTATATGATGTGTGTAACGGAGGCGGTATACACGTATTGCTTGTTAGTTCGTGTCCTTGGTCAATCAGAGTCCTTCTATGGGACTCAGTGATGCGCCGAAATGTCGTATGGTATAACGCTTGAAGAATATTTCCTGAAAAGCGACGCTGATTTCAGTGCACACTCGACAACTGTCGAAAATGAGAATGCTGCTTGTCACAGGCAGGCAGCTTTATCGAAGTAACGTGCCAGTGGCTAGCGTGGAAGAGCACTTTAGGCTTTCAGTGTTTCCAGCCGTTTCTGGACTATTTATCAGACCACTTCAACGAGCGCTTTAAAAGGCATTGGCAGACCTTGAAGATGCTTTCTTTGCTTCTGCCACAGAACAATCCCGAATCTGCCACTATTCCCACTACCAAGAAGATTACTGACGTGTGTACTCGAACATTATCTCAACTTCAGCATTGCAAGAGGAGCTGGCAGTATAGGCTGCGAAACGGAAGCTAGAGAATTGAGAAACGCTGAGCATGTCTGCAATGCAAGCGGTTGCTAATGGCCCAAAGGTATTCTTCCCAAAGGCGCTCTATCCTTTAAAGACTACGGCAACTCTGCCGGTGAGCATAGCTGAAGCAGAACGTTTTTTTTTTCGTCGCTATGATGCCTAAAGTTGTACCTGAGAGCTACAACACAGGAAAGATTGTTTGGCATTGCTCTCTGAACATCCACTGTGAAATACAAGTACGTACGGAAGACATTCTCTCTGTTCTTTGGCGGGAACGTAGTCGGCTTTAGCTGAATGTGTGTTTAATATCAACCATAGGCGCCAGCTCAATCATGGATGATAGTTAGGTGAACATATTCTTGGATTGAGGTGTTCTGAACAACAGTAAAAACATAGTCATTAATGATCAATTGATGTGGTTTAGTATCTGATGGATGGCTTCAACGCCACGGTATGGAAGAAGCAGGCTGGAGACCAGGCAGTAGGAAATTATGGCATCGGTACTAGAAATGCTAGAGGGGAGGTATTAGTAGAGTTCGCAGAACACAATACTTTGCAGATCTTGAGTACCTTCTACCGAAAACGAGGGAACTGTAAGTGTACATAGAGGCGCCCTAATGTCGAAAGTGAGAACGAAATAGACTTCATACTAAGTGCACACCCAGGCATCGTGCAGGATGTGGAGTGCTTGACAAGATACAATGCAGTGACCATAGAATGATGGTACGGTCTCGAATTCGCTTAAACACGAAGAAGGAACGAGAGAAACTGATACGCAAGAAGCCACTAAATAAGATAGCACTAAAAGGGAAAGTAGAGGAATTCAGTCTCGCTTCAGAACAGGTACTCGTCTCTTATCAAGAAAACCAGCCTTAGCGAGGACGCAATGAATGATAACCTGACGAGTACCATTACGGAGTGTGCAGTGGAAGTTGCAGGCACGGTACTTAGACAGGACACTGGCAAGCTGTCCCAGGAGACAAAGAACCTCATTAAAAAGCGTCAAAGCACGAAAGCCTCAAATACAACATACAAAAGAGAATTGGCTGAACTTTCGAAGTTGATTAATAGACGCAAGGTATCCGATGTAAAATGGTGTGACATGGAGAAAATTAAACACGCTTTGAAGAACAGAGGAAGCGTCAAAGCAGTGAAGAGGGAACTTGGGATGGGCAAAAATCAGATGCATGCACTAAGGGACAATAAATGCAAAGCAACTACAAATATGGATAGGATAGTTGAAATAGCGGAGGAGTTTTACAGAGATCTGTATAGCAGCCGGGACAACCGTGACCTTAATATAAGCACTAGCATGCCCAGATGGCATCCCACCAGTAATGATAGAATCAGTCAGAAAAGCCTTAGAGGGAACGCAAAGAGGCAAAGCTGCTGGTGAGGATCAGATAAAATCAGATCTGCCAAAAGATGGAGGATAGATTGTGTTAGAAAAACTAGCCACCCTGTTTACGAAGTGTCTCATGACGGGAAGAGTACCAGGATCTCGGAGGAATGCTAACATAGTCTTAATACATAAGACAGGGGATGAGAAGGACTTGAAGAATTACAGGCCGATCAGCTTGCTCTCTGTCGTATACAAGCTATTTACAAAGGTAATTGCTAACAGAATTAAGACAACATTAGAATTCAATCAACCAAAGGAACAAGCAGAATCTCGAACAGGCTTCTCAACAATTGACCACATTCATACTATCAATCAGGTAATAGAAAAATGCTCAGAATACGGCCACCCGCTATACATAGCCTTCATAGATTACGAGAAGGCGTTTGATTCAGTAGAAATATCAGCAGTCAAGCGGACACTACTGAATCAGGGCGTCGACGAAGCATATATAAACATCCTGGAAGAAAGATACAGGGGATTAACTTCCAACATAGTGTTTCATAAAGAAAGCGACAAAATACCAATCAAGGAGGGTGTAAGGCAGGGCGATGCAATCTTCCCACTGCTATTTATCGCGTACTTACAG